CTAGCAAGTGATTTTGTAACTGAGAAATCCTTATTTTGGAAGAGCGTTTAAAAGTGTCTCTTTAAGCTCACTAGTTCCTCAGGGATATCTCAGGCCAGGGCCTGAAGAACAACTGGGAGGAGCTTGGAACTTTTCACCTGGATAGTTGGTAGCTCCACATTAAACAGTAAGACTCTGATAACAAGGTTTTACTTCTGAAAGGATATTGGTGTAAAGGCCAAAATTTAAGAAGAAATTTATAGTTAAAAATGTAAAAAAATGGAGTTTGCCACACAAGCATCAAAAAGACAACTGAACTAAGAGTAAATTTGACCAATTTCTGCTCTTTATAAGCTTTTCTTTATTAGACCTTTTTAATGCAAAATGTGTAAATGTATTATATATAGAAGTTACCAAATAAGAGATTTCAAAAGAAAAATATTTAAGCATATTTGCTCACCCCTCCCCAGCCTGGGATATACATACTTAAGACCATGTATTTTTAGTCATTTGTTTACAAAATGTGCTGAGTATTATTTTTTATTATTAAAAAACCAAAATTCCTTTTTTTTTTTTTCTTGGTACTGGGGGATCAAACTCCTTGAGCTTGCGAGGTAGGTGGTGGCACAAATGATCTAAATCCCCGCCCCCAAAATTCCTTTTTTCAGTGATACATTTATATAATTTGAAAGTTATATATGAGATTCTAATCTCTAAAACTTTTGTCTCACTAGAAAAATTAGGAATGTTCATTCTACCTTACTAAAAGATAGGCCTTTAGCAGATATAATTACTGTATTTCACATGGCATTTTAATTTTTTATAGGAACAGACTTTTTGGAGTGGTTATAGGCTTACAGAAAAATGTGAAATCCAGAGTTCTGTATACTTATTCCCCAGATTCCCCTGTTTTAAATTTTTTTCATAGTATATTACATTTGTTATAACTGTTGGCCAGCATGATAGCTATTATATAATACTATTATTAACTAAAGTTTACAATAAGGTTCATTTTTGTGTTGTACATTCTGTGGGTGTAGACAAATGAATAATAACATATTCACCACAACTATATCATACAGAACAGCTTCTCTGTTCTAAAACTGCACTGAACTCCATGTCTTCATCCCTCCTTTTCTTTGTCCAAATCCCTAGCAATCAGTAATCTTTTTCACTGTCTCCATAGTTTTGCCTTTTCCAGAATGTCATAGCCTTATCATTAGACTCTTCTTTCATTAAGCAAATGCACTTAAGGATCTTCTATGTCATTTATGACTTGATAGCTCTTTTCTTTTTATTGTTGAATAATATTCCACTTTCTGGATGTGCAGTCACCTGTTGGAGGGCATCTTGGTTGCTTCCAAGTTTTGGCAGTTATGAATTAAATTGCTGTAAACATTTGTGCAAGTGTATTTAGACTTAAGCTTTTACTTCTTTAAGGTAAATACTAAAGAATATGATTTCTAGATTGTATATTAAGGGTGTGATTGGTTTTCAAAGAAACTGCCATGCTGGGGTTATAGCACTTGCCAGGTATTATCATTTTGATTTGAATTATCCCCCAAAACTCATGGCTTGGTTGAGTCAGGTGTGGTAGAGCACATCTGTAATACCAGGACTCTGAAGGCTAAAGCAGAAAAGTCATGACATTGAGGCCAGTCTGATCTACATAGGGAGTTCAAGGCCATCCTGTATTGTGCAGCAAAATACTGTCTTTAAAAAAAAAAGGAAAGAAAACAAAAATGTGAAGGAAGAGGCTTAGTTGCTGATGGCCTTTTGAGAATAATGGGATCATGAGGGCTCTAACTTCATCTATGAATTAATCCACTGATGAGATCATAATTTGATACCATTATAGGAGGTGAGGGAAACAAGAAATGGGGCTTAGTTGAAGGGTGTGGGTCATGGAGCATGACCTTGTGTACAATATATTGCCCCTGTCTTCTTCCTTTTTGCCCCTCTCCCATCTTTTCCTCTTTCTCACTGCCATAAGGTGTGCAGCTTTGCTTCCGCTGTGATATTCTGTATTGTTCAGGCCCATAGCAATGAAACAAGCCAACTATGGACTGAGACTAAGAACCAAAATAAGCCTTTACTCTTTTAAATTGTTTATGTCAGGCATTTTGTCGCAACATGAAAGCTGACTAACCTACCAAGTATGCACTGGCCCTGGGTTTGATATGTAGCACTGCAAAATAAAAAGAAGAAGAAGAAAGAAAAAAGAGAGAGAGAAGAAGGGAGGGAGAGAAGAAGGGAAAAGGAGTGGGCAGGCCAAACTGTCTGCAAAAGTGGCTGAGAATGAAATGAGCAGAGGATAAAAATGAGAGTTTTTGTTGTTCCATATCTTTGCCAGCATATTGTATTGTCTGTCATAGATTCTAGCTATCCATGTTATGTATGGTATATCGCTTTTAATTTACAGTTCCCTATGACAAAATACATCTTTTCATATGTTTACTTGCCATTTGTGTATCTTCTTTGATGAGATACCTATTCAGATCTTCTGTCAGTTTTTTAACTGTGTTGTTAATTTTCTTATTGTTGAGTTTTAAGAGTTATATATTTTGGATTCCGGTCCGATTACAGAATTCTTGTTGTTTAGACCAAAAATTTCCCCTAAAGTCTCATGTGTTAAGAGATGGGGCTGCTGGAAGATTATTGGATCATGGGGGCCCTAGATACATCAGTGGATTAACCATAGGTGAGTTTATAGTTGAAGTGGGTCACGAGGAGCTTGCCTTTGGAGTCTCCCGCTTTCTCACTCTCTAACTCTGGCTTTTCCTGTTCTCTTTGCTTTCTAGCTGCTATAGATTGATCACTTTTCCTGCCCTAAGTTCCTTTACCATGCCATTTCTGTCTATGAGCCAGCTGACCATGGACAGAGCTCTGAAACTATGAGTCAAAATAAACCTCTCATCCTTAAATTGGATATATTTTCTAAATATTTTATTCCAGTCTGTGGCTTGCCTTTTTATCACCCAGTGTCTTTCACAGAACACAAATTTATAATTTCAGTGAATTATATTTAGTGAACATATATTTTCTGTAGCAAAAGATGTTTAAATTTAAATTTATAATGTTTATAGATAAAAATTACCATATTAGCTCATATTTTTGTCTTCGTTTGTCATTGTAATAATTTATAAATTTTAATGTCAAGGGAGAATTACTCCCACAAAGAACTGTTATCTGTGAGGTAAACATACACACCTCTCTCATCCCACCATCTCTAATATTATGCTCCTATATTTTTGAAGTACATACTTCTACCTGCATGAATAGAAAAAACAAATTCTTCTTAGGAAATGGGACTCCCTACTCAATAGGACTTTTAACTTAGGCACATGTGGTATTTTATATGTAGATCACACACCACAAATAGCAGTCTTATATAGCCATGTTCTAATTGTTCTGTTGTTTTCCTTCTGAAGAAACCCTCCAACTTCATTTGCTGTCGTAGACAGCCATCATTTACATAAACAGATTAAAGGTTGAGGATTCCTCTACTGTGTTTCATTTTCTGTGTAAGATCTTGTCTTTAAAGCATTATTCATTGCTTTCACCACTCCTATCAACTACAACCATGGTTGTCTGTTACGTGACATTTTAAATGATATGTACCGCTGCAACCCCCACATACACACACAAGTTATTTTTGAATGAGGAACGTAGAAAATTTTAAGGACATTTTGTGGTACAACTACAGCTTTATGAAGCTATTTCTTTGAGTCATCTTCTTTCAGCTAGAAGACCACCCATCTAAAAACCCATCTTGGATTACCTCTAACTTTCATTAGATACCACTTCTAGATATTCAATAATTTCTTGCACATTTCTGTTTAATGAATAGGCTTTTCTTTAAAACCTCATTATAACAGAATTCAGTAAATGGAGCTGATTTTGAGAATCTTGACCAATGAATGAACATTCCCATGTAACAGGTAATTTTGGCAACTTTTAAGTTAAAATTTAGCCCTTGATGGTAATAGGAAGTTTATTGAAATGAATGTGTACAGTGTAATAAAGCAGTATTAAAAAGTTTTTTGACATTTCTTTCTTGTAATAGTTTCTGATGGTTGGTCATTGGTCCAGCATGTTCACTTTGAAATCTCACCCATGTGTCTGCTGTTACCTCATACTCTCTATTTCTGTAAGTTCTCCTTTCACTTCAGATCTGTTACTGCAAAGTGTTAGAATGTGTGCTTCTTCACTGTAGCCTTTAAGACTGTGGCCCTTCATTAATTTCCATAAAAGGCTTTGACCCTTACAAAAATGCTGACCTTACTCTATGGTGCCATAGTTTTTATTATTCTGATTGAAGCACTTTCTGTTCTCTTTGGTGGCCACATTCTCTACTTGATCCCAACATTCATCTGGATGATGGCAAAAGAAAAAGTGTTTACATGCCTTCTAACAAAAAATTCCTTCATGGGCTCCAAACTGAAGTCAGATTTTACGCAAATATGCAAACTGTGTAATTTTCAATGTGACATTAAATATGTTTCAAAATCCAGTATATTCAATTTTTAAGAACTTAGGACTTACACACTGGGTTACTCAACACACTGTTACACACTGAATTACACACTGGATCGCTGTTGTCACCTGTCTTGACAGAATAGTAGAAAAAGATAAGTGAAAGAAGTTGATCATGCAGGAGTGTATTAGAACAATTAATACAAAGTTAAAAAGTATTAGCACATAATATCTCACAACCACTGTTCTAATTTAAAGCTTTGTAAGCATTGCTTCATTTGTCTTCCAGGTTAAATACCATTTTATATCCTTGATGCTAAAGCCATCAATTTTAAGAGACATCATCAAATTAGTAGCTTTACCATGATTGTGTTAGGGACACAGAGGCTGGCATTTTAATGTGCATGGCTATTTTATGACAGATTAACTTTAATGGTAAATGTTTAGGAAAGTATATCTTAGTAACATCCTTAAGTACTTCAGAAATGATAGAGGATATTGGCATGGTTCTACATGCAGATGGCTCAGCGTGTTGAGTTCTGTTTTATTAGGAATAAATTTATTGAACCTATAGAGTGACCCACATAAATGTCTGAACATTGTTAAATAAATTCATAAAATTTGTGATTAAACACGATAACCTGAACACACAGTCATTTATCTTTGCCCCCATCTGAAACCCTACTAAAATGAAAATAAACAGTAAGAAATGCATAAACCAACAATGACAATGAGAATGAGGCAGAAACCAATAGCACATGGAAATATAAATAAAATTTTGGAAGCTGGATAGTAAATAAGCAGGTTGGAGAATACTGAAACCCTCATGCAGGAAAGAACTATAAGAAGCAGCATATTACAATAAATTTCAAGAAAGGAATTAGAATATAGGACACTTCTAAGGAAATGGGGTCAAGCCTGAAAACACAATTTGTTTCAAGTCTTTATGTACAGGAAATAGACTCCCAGATTCTTTTCCCCACTCCTTACAGCAAGTATATCACTCTGAGAAGAAAATTGCAGCTTTACTTTTCAAAAAAGTTGAATTTCTGGACACCAAGATATCAGGCCCTTCTTAAAGATAGAGGTGATTGACTTGTCAAAATGAAAGTGTACACAGCCCATCTGAGTCTCTCAAAAGTCTTTCCTTGTTCTGCTTCTATTACGAAGGCAGCCAGCCAGATAAACAGAAGATTATTCTCTGGAGAATCTGTAAGTCCAAGAGAACAGCCTTAGAGATATTGATATTGTGGTTGTCATAGTAGTGTTGAAGACCACCAGCTGTCAAGCCTTATCTGCTCACAGTTTCCAGTTGCTATTTTATTGCCTCACTCCAAAATATGAGTTGAAAACTAGGAACCAACAATATTTGAAAAAACTTCTAATACAAAAAGGCAGTCTAGTTTTGGTATCAGAGTAACTCTTCTGTGTTTTCCATCTTATTAGAGTATAATTTTTCAAAGAAAAATTTTAAGAAATTAAAAGAGGAAAGTAACATTTTTGAAAATCTGCCTTTTATAATTTCACTTGTAAGTTTGAGAGTTAAAACCTTGAGCAAATGAATATCTTGGCAGGCAAGTTATTTTAAACTCCACGTTAATCAAAGTATAATTAGGAGGGCCGGAGATTTAGCTCTGGTTCTGCCATCTGCCTTGTAAGCACAATGTCCTGAGTTTGATCCCCGGTACAAAAGAAAAAGTATAATTAGGAGAAGCCCACCCAGACAACAGCAGCAGAGGGTGCACAGGCCCCAACCAGGGCCCTGCCCTGACACCAGTGGCTTGGCCCCACAGGCTGCAGCCAGAGGCCTGCCCAGATACCACCAGTGTAGGAGCACAGGCCCCAGCCAAAGGCCAGCCTAGAAAGCAGCTGTGTGGGCATGCAGGCCCCAGCCAGAATCCCAACCAGACAATAATAGCCCAGTGTGGAGATCCAGAAGGCCATCATTCTGAACCCAGGAATTGGCACAGTGATGAGCAGCAGAGAGAAAGCCTCTCTGAAGCTTGTTGAGAACTGAGGCCCACTGGGGGAGCAAAGAGTCACCTCTATAAAGGTGTAGCAGACTACAGTGGTTGAAATGAGAAGACATGTAAACAATTCTCAAAACCAGACTTCCAGATCACCAAAGGCAACCCCAAGGGGCAATGAGATGAAACAATCTGATACCTAACCACCTGGACTCCCTGAACTGGCAATGAAAGAGGATCTGGAAAAAATGAAATCAGAAATAATTTCTCAGATAACAGCAGAGATTGTGCTCATAGTGCAAGACATGATTAATAGCTCTAGAACAGACACAGATTTAAAAAATACAGAAGGTGAGAAACACAATTTAATCCCAGCATAGGAAACAAACGGAATCCATAAAACAGATGCAAACAGATATTCAAGCTAAAAACTCCACTGAAAGTTTACACAGGAGAATGAGCCAGTGTGAGGACAGCCTACCAGATATAGAAGACAGGATTGTGATTAGTGACCAGGAAAAGAAAGTTTTCTTAAAAATAGCAAGGGACCATGAAAAATCAATCCAGCAGCTGCTAGATGATGCAAAGAAGAGTACATAAGACTGATTGGAGTCAATGAAGGAACAGGAGATAGTGCAAACAATATAAAACTACTTTTCAGGCCGGGGATTTAGCTCAGTGGTTTCGCCAGCTGCTGCGCAAGTGCAAGGACCCAAGTTCGATCCCCGGTACCAAAAAAACACAAAACAAAAAAAAATACTTTTCACAGAAGTATTGGCAAAAAACTTCCCAAGTAGGGGGAAAGAACTTGACATACAGATAAGTGAGGCATACAGGACTCCCAACTGGCCATGATCAAAAAAAATCTACACCTAGGCATATAATAGTCAAGATTTCAGAAACCCAACAGAAGAACAAAGTACTACAAGCAGTTAGAGAAAAGAAACAAATCAAGATCCAACAATATGCTGCATACAAAAAAGACACTTAATTCAAAAAGAAACTCATAGACTGAAAGTGAAAGGGTGGAAAACAATACTCCATGCAACAGGAACCAGAAAAAAAGCAGGAGTAGCTATCCTTTGCAGATCAAGTGGATTTCAAACCAACACTGATTAAGAGAGACAAAGGACACTACATCCTTGTAAAGGGAACAGTCTAAGAGGAAGAGATGACAATCATAAATATCTATGCACCAAACACTAGTGCACCCAACTATATAAAACAAATACTAATGGACATGAAAAAACCAAATAAGCACTAATACAATAATAGTGGGAGAACCTCAGTCCCCACTGTCACAAATAGAACAACTAGACAAAAAAACAAAATACTAGAACTCAACCAAACTCTTGAACAAATGAACTTAACAGATGTTTACAGAGTCTTCCACTCCACAAAATCAGAATACACATTCTTTTCACCTGCACACGGGTCGTTCTCCAAAATAGACCACGTACTCGCTCATAGAACATGTTTAAGTAAGTGCAAAGGAATTGAAGTTATCCCGTGTACATTATCAGACCATAGTGCAATGAAATTGGAGATCCATAGCAAAAGAAACTGTAAGAATTTCATAAACACATCTAAATTGAACAACACACTTCTGAATAACCAATGGGTCACAGAGGAAATTAAAGAAGAATTAGGCAGTTTCTGCAATTAAATGTCAAAGTATAATTAGAACACTCTTAATTATGGCTAGAGATATTATTATGTACTTAAGCTCAGCTTAAGAAGTAAATCCACAGGTTACCATTTCAGCTGCGTATGTTTTTGTCTTTAAGACCCATGAAAAATTGGTTACATTTGAAAATCAGCAGATCCATTATTTTCATGTTTCAGTCATTCTCTAAGAGTATTTTTTGTGACAGCCATGAAGAAGCAAAGCTACTAACTTATGTCTTCATAGGTAATAAGATGTACTCAAATTTCACACAACTGGTTACCCTTGTGGTCAGCTGCAGGGCAATGCCAGAGTGTCTGTAGCACTCCAGAAAAGACCCTCACTTAAGGAGCTATTTTGAAGGCCAGACCATTACTTAGGTATACCTTTAAGGACAAATTGTGACTTGCCAATTTGGCAAGAAAATAACTAAAATGGCTTGAAGATGTTCTTGTTTTTTATTTTTTTCTACCTATCAGAAGTTAAAGCTATCCATTTTTTTCCTTCATTTTGTTTTAATTAAATGGAGATCCTTTTGTTGTCAAGAGTTGAAGGCTCCCATAATTCTTGCCAGAAAGAGAGCAGCAGTGCCCTCAATATCCTTCAGGAGGGTCCATGTGGATTTTACCCCTAAACTTAAGCAGTGCTCAGTCATTATCAACTGGTTTGGTGGCCCTGCCTAACAGCCTGATCCCTCTGCATTCAACTTTCCTCTTATTTGCCTTCTGTTTCTACTTTGCTTACGCTCTTATAAAGCAGAATTTAGTGAGAATTTTAAATCCACTATAGATCTGGGATGCACATAAATTTGAACAATTTTTTTAATTTCCCATCTATAACTAAAGCTGGAAAGTCATCCTGGTTCCACAGTTAAAATTCTGCTCTGGGAATCACTTCTAATGCCTTGCTGTTTTTATTCCACACTCCAAAATCATGTGATCATTCTGGTTTTCTCATTGACATGTGAATAAGAATTTACTTACACTGGTTTTGAAAGGTTTAAATAATCAGTATTTCACATGCTAAAACTCATGATATCAACCATAATACACTTAAGTACACAATGAAAATCTTTGAAGAGTTGGCAGAATGATCTTCATCATCAGCTTAGAGGTACTTCCACCAGTCAGCAAAGGCAGTACAAAAATTTCATCACTCAGTCTTCATGCTCAGATAATACCAGTAGTCAAGGTGACACTCTTGAGCTTTTGTCTGCTATATGACGTTCTGCTTTCCATTTTTCAAAGGTAACTTCACAGGTAACCCATTCCCTGTGTGTATGGATATAATGAAAATACCACTTGGACCTCAGTAAATCCTTTTTTACTAAGTGCACACAAAGCCCATCTTTAGGTTTTTGCTATTTGCAAAACTGTGTTGAACTTCTGAACTTCCCCTTCTCATTCCTTCATGCCAGTGTCATTCTCCCTCAGTTCCCATTATTGGACGCTATAATGCTTATCAAAATTACTTTGGGGTCACTTTGCTTACAGTCATCTTATCTCAGAGCCCCTTGTACCTTTCTGGACCTTTAGGAATCAGAGACAAGTTACAACAAGAAAAGGGACATAACCACCTGACAAAGTTTATAAGAACACTTGAGATACAAGCATCAGTGTCACAATGACATCCACCTGAATTAGGTTATGTATTATTTTGTTGCAAAAAAATTCTATAGATAAGTCAATGGCCACTTGACTCTTCATTCACATTCATTATACTTTAGTAATCAGGTAATATAGCAATAGTATTGTTTGTGATAGTTTTACTGAGCACTTACCATATGTTAGACGTGTTTACATAACTTATGGGTATAAAATTAGTGTAGTCATTTTATAGAAGAAAAAATTGCAGCTTAAAGTACCTCTTTCAAAGTCCTATAGCTAACTAGTGGAACTGGGATTTTACCTGACGTCTGACTCTAAAGCCTGTGCCTTTAAATCTTAATTTCCTTGGATACCTATTATTTCTTTAGAATGGTTTTGAATGTTTTCAGTAAATAGATGGGGGTGCCATCAGAAGAAGAAAAAGTTACTGACAGTGGAAGATCTTCAAAGTCTTGGAGACAACCATTTCTAACCTAGCATTCATTATATGCCAAACCAAACCTTCAGATTCTTGTGAGGACTGAATAAAGGCATCTTCTAAGTAATGTAGAAGGGATAAGGTTATACCTCATACATAGGGCTGCAGAAGACTAATTTTAGCAGCATTTCCCAGAGAAAAGGAAATTATACTCAAATAAGTCATAACTGAGTCAATGTGTATATTCTCTTTCTTGAATTCACAGATGAAGCACACTCACCTCTACACTTCCATATGTGAAACATAATAGGTAGTTATTCTACAAGCAACCATAAAAGTGCTCTGCCCAACTAATGAATGACATCTAGAAGTTATCTGACCATGTTCTCCAGATACAAAATATAATAATTCTCATTCTTTCTATGGTTCCATCATGACCCTATCTTGCTTTTGGCTTTGCAAAATGCTGAAACCATCAGCAATACTCTCCCCACATAATAATTAGGGAAAGGAAGAGAGCAGAAGAAAACCAAATGTCAGAAGGAATGTATTATTTAAGAAGAAAACAGGGCACGCAATTTCTTTTTTAATTTAGATACTCAGCAAGAACAAAGTGGTAGAGGCTACACTTAGTTTTTCCCTCTGGCAGTGGGCCCGTAGTATCTTATGACTTATTTTCTCCACTGACAATTTATATTTGTCTTCACCTTTGGTTAGTATTTCACCAAGTCAAAGGAAAGTTCTTATACTGTTGGTACAATCCAAACCTATTTTCTAAGGAATCTGAACTGTGGATGGGATTGCTCATTTAGTATTGTGATATTCATCCATTAGCCCTAACCACTGGTCGTGGTAGTATAAGATAATCTGTACTTTGTAACCCGAAGGGTACTGTGGTCCACTCATATTTCTCTCCAAGCTTCCATTATGCTTTGCCAGTTCTGTCAGTTCCATCCCCCCTCTTGCCAACACTGTGATGTTGGGAGAAGGGGCATTCTATTAGAAAAGAAATTCACAATGGTCAGGTGGTGGTCTCTTAGCTCCCATTTCACATCTTAGGTGCACAGGTAGAAGCAATTTTCTTTTAAGAAACTAAAACTTTTAAGATGGTAAAGAATTGTCATTATGAATAAAGCAAAAATTCTGAGATTAGGTCTTTAAATCTAATCCATCTCCAAACCTTAGTTTCTGGGCCCTTACATTCATTCTGCTTGTAGGAATAAATACAGTTTGTGTCAGCCCATTGCTTTACTTCTTTAGTTGAAAATTGATATTACTGAACATGAACATTACTCCTGGGATATGTCAGGCATGCATAGTGCATTCACAGGATCAGTAGATATTGGCTCTGGGAGAGCTGTGACTATCTGGTAATACAAATTCAAATCCAAAATAACTGTATTGCTAATGAGTAAAAATCACTGTGCCCTTCATAATAGAATATGTTCAGTGTGAATGATCTCTCTGCCATTGGTTTGTTCTCTGAAGTACTAACATTGGGGGTTCAGAGTTACTATTTATTGCTAGTGCTGGCAGTTGAACACTTCACCATGGTGTAACCTGAGTGGGTTTGACTTAAGGAAAAGACCAAGAAGAAAACCTGGGAACACCAAAATATAAAACAAATGTTTGAGGAAATGAGATTTCTAAAAAATATCGAGATAAAAGAATTATCAAATGCAAGCTCAGAGGTTCAAGTATATTGAGTTTAGCAATACACAGGTCATTAGTGATTTCATTAAAAGCAATTTCAGTGCAGTAGTAAGGGTAAAAATGGATTATAGAGTGCTGAAGATGATAGGTGAGACATTAGATACCTCTTTCAAGAATTTTGAATGAAGGAAAAGAAAAAGGTTAATACCTAGAGAGATAGTGGGGGCAGGGGATAAGATGGGAGAAACTTGAGCTTGTTTATAGGTGGAAAAGGAGACAGTAGAAAGAAATGAATGTAGATACCCAAAAAAGAAAAGAGATAACTGGTGACGATCACAAGAAGTTGAGGTCCTGGGCACAAAGAAGGTTTTGCATTCTGGTGAAAGAAAAGAGGTCTGTTATATTAAGGAAGAAGGAGGATTGTGGTTATACATGATTTTGTATATAGGAGGCTAGAAAGTTGAAAAGGGAGATTGGACTCTGATCCCCAAGTCTCAAGAGTCTATTTCATGAGGGTTTTTTCCCCCCACTGTAATATTGAATCCATATACAATGAACTGCCATAATCTTACTATATAACGTCTGGTCCATCCTTTTAATTCTTGAAATAGACATTGAGTTGGAGGTGTCTGTGAAAATGTTCATGAAAATGATTATCCAGCATTTTAATTTCTCCCAATTTTATTGCAAATATTCAATAAATAAAATTCTATATAATGTAGATCTGTTGCAGAAGGACCAAAGAGAAACTCTATATATGTGGATGGTCATATGAAAGATTTGTTTTTCATAAATTAATACTGTTTCCTCTACAGTGCAGTAGGATTGAATATATGGTAAGTAATCTTCATATTTTGACTTTATATAATTGCTAGTTAGCTCAGAACCTGTCTGTTGGAAGTCTGGTCCATGCAGTGTTTTTGCTGAAGTTACATTTCTGCTATAGCTTTTTCATGTTTTCTGACCTGCTTGACAATCTAGTCTTACATTCATTTTACAAAAAAAGTATTTAGTATGACAACTTAATGTAATAGTTTTCTCAATTATTTTAATTCCCATTCTAGTGATCTGAGAACCATTTTCTTTTTCTTTCTTTTTTTTTCCAGAAATAATCCTTTTGTAATATAAGTCTTAAGAGTAAATTGATAATCAAAACTCTGGCCCAGAATTTCTCCTTAATAACTGTTTTATAAATAAAAGACCAAATGCATGCAACTTCATTTTTGTGAAAGCTTACCACACTAAAACCTCTCTGTTTTCTGTTGCAAAGAAATAGTACATGTTCTTTTAGGAATATCTGAAAACAATTGGAAGTATAATTGGAAGGGGGTAAAATCTAACAAATATGAGATAATCAACATATAAAGAAAAAGGGTTATTTTGGCTCACAATTTTAAAGGTTCTAGTCTGTGGTCAGTTGGCCCTCTTGCTTTTGGGCCTGTGGAAAGGCAGCAAACTATGAAGGGAGCATTTAGCAGAACAAAAATGCTCACCTTACAGCCAGGAAGCAAAAACAGAGGAAGAAGGGGTTGTGGGTCACACTATCCCCTTCAAGGGCACACTCCCAATGATGCAAATGCTCCCAGTAGGCCCCAACTCTTAAAGGTTCTACTACTTCCCAATTGTCCCTTCCTACAGACCAAGCTTCCAACACAGAAGCCTTGGGTGACATTTAAGATACAAACCGTAGTACCACTGAATCTTTTTTTTGGTACCGGGGATCGAACTCGGGTCCTTGCGCTTGCACAGCAGGTGGCAAAACCACTGAGCCAAATCGCCAGCCCTGTACCTTTGAATCTTAACTGCAGTAGTGTATACTTTTATGAGTTCAAGGCACTCACCAAGGCTGGAGATAAAGAAATCTACTGACTTTCTTTTATCTTGAGTATGAGTTTTTATATTTGGTAATAAACAAGTTTGGATGTTTGCTGGTTTGGGCAGGATTCAAATTAATTATAAAAAGAGTGCATAATTTTTTTTAAACCCTATCATCACGTTAACCCAATTTTCTGGTACAAGTGCTTTAAGCACTGATTTAATCTGGAAATGATAACTGGACTTCCCACCAGAATAGCCTATTTGTTTTGAGGAGCCATCTTGTAATGAGAGTATGTCATTCCTATATGAATGAAGGTTAGACAAGAACTCAACACAAAGAGCTATCAGTCTGTCTTACCGGAGTTCTGGCAGCACTATGATCTGAAACATTTTGGTCAAAGTCAAGTTTACTCATGGTTATAATTTTCAGTAAGAAGAATCACAAAGGAAGTTACTTGATGGGTTGGAATAAAAATATGACTCATGCACTACATGATTAAGCAGGTTTGCTGTTATTTTTTGAGTTGTACAGATACATTTGCCTTCCCATACAAGTGTGCTAGACAATTTGTATTTTGATTGAATTATGCTCCCCTTAATTTTTTTCTTCAGACAGACTTTTGGGTGGTTGTGTTTTTTTAATCCCTCCAATTTCCACTGTTCTTACCTCATGTGTGTTCCAGTTAAACGTAACCAGGTGCAAACAGCTGCGCTCTAAAAGATTCCATTTCTTCCATAAGTCTGTGCATTCTCTTCTCTGATAATCGATTTTGGGGGCCTGCAGAAACCAAATGTTGAGACTTGTGTAAACAAGAGTTTTTAAGCAGTGTTTGCATAAAGTTCTAGTGGCCCCCTCTGATCTCATTTGGTTTGTTTATTTTTTTGTTTTTGAAATACTAGGCAGTGGTGGCGAACCTGTGGCGTGTATGCCACAGCTGTTTGTTATCATTGAAAGCTCTAAAAGGTTCTCTATCACTGTTCCAGGGATTGAACCCAGGGCCTTTGGACTGAGTTACATCCCCAGCCCTTTTTATTTTTATTTTGAGACCGGTCTTACTAAGTTTCCCAGGCTGGGCTCCAACTTGTGATCCTCCTGCCTCAGCCTCCCAGGGTGATGGAATTATAGGTGTGCATCACCACACCCACTGGTTTGTTCTTTTAAACATCTTAAAAATACTTTTTTCATTACTTTGGTATCTTTGAGACCAGAAAAATGAATAAAAAGGAAGTCTGAGGATACTACAGAAGACACTAGCACATGTAAAGCTAAGTCATATTTTCTTATGAAGTTTAAATAGTGTGCTAGAGTTTTAAGGAAGCAAGTTTTTCTGGTAGAGAAGCATGGGCAGTGGCATTGAGCAGCTCTTTAGACCTGTAGGCTGTCAGTAAGGAGAGCAATACTTTGAGATGTGGCTATATGTTGAAGGCCAGACTCAGACACACACACTGGGAAGAAAACGTTGCCGTGAGTTAGTCACTTAACTCCTGAGCCTGTTTTCTTGTACCTGTTCTGGGATTATATAGGTTGATAATTAAGATTATATCTGCCTTCAGTGTCCTTCGACTTTAACACGGAAGAAAGAACTTGAAATAAGAGTAACACTAAAATCAGTGTAAGCCACCAAGAGGTCTTTTAATGGGTGAATGCAGTAAACAAACTGGTACATATGGACAATAGAATATTATTCAATACCTCATAAATGATCTATCAATCAAGATAATACATGGAAGAACCTCAAATGCATATTACTGAGAGAAGGCTATGTATTATACGATTCCAAATATATGCTATTCTGGAAAAGGAAAAACTATATAGTAAATAAAAGGTCAGTGGTTGGCAGAAATTAGGAGAGAGGCGGGGATAAAAGCCTCAGCACAGGCATTTTAAGGCAGTGAAACTACTGTGTATGATATTGCAGTGGTGGAAACATGTCAACGTATGTTGTGTTTAATACACATGTATAATATATAACAAGAGTGAATCCTAATGTAAACTATGGGCTTTGGTTGACAATGTGTCCATCCATCTATGTTCATTATTTGTAACAAATGTACCTTCTGGTATGAGATATTGATAATGAGGAAACAAAACAGGAGAAAATGGAAGGAGACAGAGAAAATTAAAAGGCTTCACTGTGTCTGTCCCCATCTCCACTACCAGTTTCACACACTTAGCCTTTCTACAGTCTGTGATTACCTCTCTCCACTTTCATGTAAATGGTGAAGGCAGCTTTATTCACCACAATGGATTCCTATAAACTGTACCACAAAATATACCCCACAAACAGATCATTTGGTTAAATGAGTTATATTTTCTTACACAAACAGTATTTAATTAATTATATTCCTGATGAAGAAATTGTCATCAAATCTTTAAAATACACTGTTTTCTCTAAAAGGGGCATGAGTATACTGTGCACATTCACTGAGATCTAATATATATACCATGAGTAATTGATCCCTAAAAATACATATTTAGGGCCGGGGATTCAGCTAAGTGGTTTTTGCCGCCTGTTGTGCAAGCGCAAGGGCCCGAGTTCGATCCCCGGTACCAAAAAAAAAAAAAAATTACATATTTAGGGGCCAGGGATTTAGCTCAGTGGCCCCGCGCCTGCCTCGCAAGCTCAAGGTCCTGAGTTTGATCCCTGGTATAAATAAATAATTTAACGAATACTTTTGCATAGTATATTACCTTTTTAAATCTTCCTTGGATCATTGTTACACCTAAAATACGATCTGTCTGGACTAGCTGGTCATACGGCACCCCTTTAAGAAGAGGAACTCTGTGGCTGGCTTAGGGAACAAAAGCTGGAGTAGCTGAGACAAAGTTTCCTAAAGAAGCAGCCCTCATTTCTTTAAAGAAGAGATAGTAGTACTCAGATTATTTAAAAATAAAGTGAGGAAGAAAAGAGAGAAATGGGGGGAAAAGAAAGAAGAGGAAAGGAAGGAAAAATAGAGGGAATCTATCATGTTTCCTTTATCATGGCTCTGAGATACTACCCAGATCTTTTAAGAGGGTTAGGCCGGGGATTTAGCTCAGTGGTTTCACCACCTGCTGCGCAAGCGCAAGCACCTGAGTTCAATACCTGGTACCAAAAAAAAAAAAGAGGATTAGTAATGCCTCTGCAAGCATGCTTCTGTTCCCCAACAATTTGGTTCTCACAAGTGGTCAACAAAATTTTGCTTCTGTTCACAGACTCCACATCAGGTTACAAATACAACCACAGCCATCTTCCCCAAAATCATAAATTAAGTTTGTAAACCAAGGTACCCCACTGTACTGTACTTTGACAAAAGGGGAAAGTCAGGATTTGTATCAGAACACTAAATTATAAAAATTATTTTGCTTCACAAAAACTATATAGTTATATTGTACTTTTATATTTTCTTTGTTTCTGGAAGTTTAAGTTAGATGCTGTGTACAGTTTTTCACACAATATGATCTACAGTGTATGCACCACAAGAAAGTCCTGCTGTGTACCAGCTGTCTGATTTCCATAGAGGTTGTACCAGCTGTCTGATTTCCATAGAGGTGATGATGGAAACTTAGGTATAATTCCAGGCTAGCATTATGCTGCAAAGGATGTATATAAAATACTAGATTCTAATAAAATTAATAATATTTCTAAGTCATTCTTGTCCCTTCAGTAATACCACATATTGTTATATAGCATTTTACTTCAAACTCTCTCACTACATAAACTTGATTTTTATACTAGTGTTAAGTATCCTGGTAGGAAAAAAGAAATTGCTTGTCTTTTTTTAGAGTTAGGGAGAATACACTACTATCTTCCAAATAAATGTTTTCTACCATTATTACCATCTTGCCATTTGGCTAATTAACAAAAGAACAATTTTTCTTACCCAGAATCTCAAATATAGTTCAAGGATGGTTTCATAGGAATATTCTGTTATGGAATGGGTAGTTGACCATCTAAATCAGGGGTCAACAAACTATAGTCCAAGGATCAAATATGGCCCACAACCTGTTTTGTAAAGCCTGCAAGCTAAGAATAACTTTACAGTTTAAAGGGATTGAATAAAAATCAAAAGAATAATAATTCATGACACATGAAAGATGAATGAAGTTCTAATTTTAGTGTCCATAAAGTTTTATTAGAACATAAACACACTTATTCGTTTACATTTTGCCCATGACTGCTCTCATGCCAACAAGGGCAGATCTAAGTAGTTGCAGGAGGGACTATATTCTTTACAAACTATTTGCTGTCTGGCAAATTGCAGAATAAATTTGCCTGCCCCCAATCTAAATAATTTCTTCATCATCCTCCTACCTCTCCACCCACAACACTTACATTTTCCTTCTCTCTGTTCTTCTCCCTCCCTCTTTCACCTCACACACACACACCTCATTTTGAATCTGGCATTACAAATACAAAGAAATCTAATTGTGAGCCTCCAGTAAATGGTAGAGGAAATATATTTTAATCTCCCTTTGACTTGTTTGTCAACTATCCTTCCTTGGCTGCTTTCCCTTTGTTCTGCTGTCTTTATATAGAATTTTGAAGGCCATGCCCTTTTCCCAACATATTTTGTTTTTAATATGGGGGTTCGATCTTGATTCTTTTTTTTTTCACTTCCACAGAAAGTTCCGTGTTAGTATGTGGTCTCATTTTTAACCTATTTGCAGACACCCCCGATTATCTAAAATCACTTTCACATGGGGCTGAGGTTAAGCTTTATTTCTCTTGGCATGACCCTGCCACAGCAGACACTTCCTCTTTGCCTTGAAAGGACAAAACGATGTTCAGCTGTCTGGGCTTAGGCCCAGTATTTGATTTATACATTATTTAATTTCCTCTTGAAAATTGGAAGCAGGACTTTTAGGAATGGAAGTTAGTATTTTTCATTTGTTTAAGAACACTTTTAGGTCTAATATAATCATCAGTAGTAGATGTCAGTATGATTAGGAGGTAACTTAAGGTAAAACAAATAACGTGAACACAAAGGAAAATTATTTGACAATGGAAAAGATCTAAAATTTTTGAATAATCATTTTATGTTATTAAGTTGTTTGTGTACTATATTGGGTCACTCTACTCACTGACAGAAAAATTAACCATCAACTTATAGTTGGAGTTGTTGGAGCATTAGAGGTTTGAGGAGAGCTTTTAATGTAATCATTCCAGTAATTTTACAGACGGTTTTCGGTTTCTGTCTGAGCTGCTACTACATTTGTCTTTACAATTAAGTTCATGTGCTTGCCAGGATGTGAATCCCGGAATGATTTGAAATTTTTACAGCAGTGAATTCAGGAAATTAAAAATTAATTCTAAAAATACCATTTTGTGTTTCACAACCACTTTTGGGTAGTATATTCCTTTTTAAGCCTTCTTTAGATCATTGTTACTCTTACGTTACAACCTATCTCCTTTTTACCACTAAGCTCTTAAAAAGTCTAGCATACCTGCTGCCTACTTCCTCACTCTTGATTCACTTCTCAAACCCTGACAGTCCAGCCTCTTCTACCCCTACAACAATGCCTAGCTGATCTCACTGTTTTCTCCTCTCCCAATCAAGTCAGTTTTACATTTTCAGCTGCCCTGACCTTTGTGCCTCATCTGCCAAAAAGTCATTCCCCTTCCTAAAACTCTGTTCTGGGTTTCATGTGCGAATGTTCTGGTTTCCTTTGCTTCCTTTTTACATACCCTATCCCTAGTCCAGATGCTAAGCTTAAATGTTGCTAAGGTTATGTTTCTTGGATCTCTTTTATTCCTACCCTTTTTTAAAAAAACTTTTAGGGCTGAGGATTTAGCTCAGTGGTGCTGCCGCCTGCCTCATAAGTGCAAGGTCCTGAGTTCGAGCCCTGGTACCAAAAAAAAAACTTTTAGACAGGGTCTTACTAAGTTGCCAAAGTAGGCTGAATTTGGGATCCTCCTGACTCGGTCTCTCCAAGTACAGGAGTTGTAAAGGTATCTTCCTTCCGCTTAACCCCTAGCCTCCTCAGGAAAACTTATAGGGCTTTAAAGCCCACTCCAGTCCTGAGACACTACTTTTGAGTCCCTTGAATACAGCCTATTCTATGCTACTTCTGTGCCTTCATTTGAGCAAACTTTGCTCAGAGTTTGTCACTGCCAAAGCCAGCACCACACACCTTCACACTCCTTTAAACCTCATTCACATTCTTTAAACCTCCCTGATGTTACCATCTGGGCTGCAGAGGACAGTCTGATAGGCTAGATAGAGCAAAGGTACTGGAGTCAGGCAGATGTGGATTTAAATCTGAATCCACCACTTAACCTATTGGTATGATGTAGGACATATGATTATGCACTAGAATCAGTTCTTTCATTTATAATATTGAAGTTGGGGGAAAAGATAGTGGCTATCTCACTGGATTGTTGCATAGCTTCCACAACTTTTCTGAAAAGCCTAGAGCACTTAGGAATCAATTGTGGTAGTGGTGGTAATAGTAGTAACTATTATCATGATCGATACTATTCTTTTCATATCAGCATTTTATTTTTCTCATTTGTGAGTTACTTCGCTGCACTTTGTAAATCATTGTCCTATTTTCCCTTCTGAATTTCAGACACTTGAAGATGCCTTTATAGTCCCCTGGTCCCCAAGAGCATAGAACAATGACCTATGCATAGGTTTTCCTAAGTAAGTTGAGTTGAATAAAATAGCTTCTCACCTCCCCTAAATGGCTGCAGTGTTCATATGATTCAGAGCTTGTAAGTTTGTAGCTGTATCTTAATATTTCAATCATATATTAGCACACTAAAAAATCATTATGTTGTTATATTTTATGACACAGAAGCTTAAAACTAGCATTTAAATTTTTGAACTTTAATTTCTCATAGACTTAATGACCTATATATTTAGATGTAGATAGTCTAGTTTTCATTTTTAAAAGAACTACTTTGGCGGTGCCACGTCTGCAGCTGGATCCCGCCGCCGCCGCCGCGCAAGTCCGAGCCTTAGCCGCGGAGCCCGCCGCCCCCAGGTCGCCCCTCGTGGGCGCCGGTGCCCCCGTGGAGATCATGAATGAGACAGATAAAAATCAACAAGAAATCCCATCCTACCTTAGTGATGAACCGCCAGAAGGTGCCGTGAAGGACCATCCGCAGCAGTCAGGCATGTTGTCCCGTGTGACTGGGGTTATCTTCAGTGTCACTAAGGAAGCTGTTGGCGCCACCATAGGTGGTGTGGCTTGGATTTGTGGAAAGAGTTTGGAGGTGACCAAAACAGCTGTTACAACTGTGCCTTCCATGGGAATAGGGCTGGTGAGAGGGGGCGTGTCCGCTGTGGCTGGAGGTGTCACAGCGGTGGGGTCTGCCTTTGTCAACAAAGTGCCCTTAACAGGAAAGAAGAAAGACAAGTCTGACTAAGATACGGAGATACACTTGTTATCCACCGCATTATGATGCCAGTGGCATTGAATTGCTACGTCATGGACTACAACCAAGTCACCTGTTTTGGACGCTCATCTTCTAAACTGCTGTGTTTAAAGTATTGATGACTGGCTTTCAGCTAAAGAGACCAATGCTAGCACAGTGTATGAAGGTTTCTCATACTTCAGTTCGAGCTTTTTATCTGGTAAAATGTTACATTCATTCAGTTGTAACTGAAGATATGGTATGTTTGAATATTTCTCTTAAGTTTTTGAGTTTGACTAAAATGTGAAAGTTGAATTTCGTAGATGATCTTTACAATTCCATATGTACAGTGTGCCAGGTAACTGTGCCCCTTGCCAAGGGAACCTTGGACTCCATAAACTGTACCTTTGACGTGAAAAAAAAAAAGAACTACATTATTATCATTAGTAAAATATTTAAAGAAGGTAGTATATATTCAAACTTTAAATTTCTTTGCTTAAGATTTTGTAAAGTCAAAACGAACTAGTTTTTTACTTAAACACATCTTTGTTTTTCTTTATGCCTCTGTGTGTGTGCGCGAGTGTGTGTGTGTGTGTGTGTGTGGTGCTGGGAACTGAATTCAGGAGGACTGTACCACTGAACTGCAACCCCCAGCCCTTTATTTTTTATTTTGAGACAAGGTCTTGCTAAGTTGTCCAGGAAGGACTCAAACTTAGGATCCTCCTGCTTCTGCTTCCCTAAGTTCTGGGTTTACAAGTTTTTCTTTCTACATAATTTTTTTCTTATGAAAGTTTTATACTCTATCTCTAAACATATTTTTGGAAAATAGATACTCTGCTTTCAAGAGTCACTTCGTCACAAATCACATATTGACCTGGTTTTGCAATAATCTATAATTTTTTTGTTGTGCTGAAAGCTGGTGTTGTAGGTTCTGCTCTTGATTTTGAAAGGTAGCAAAGTGGTTGTGCTATTGTTGGTCTGAATTTCTGTAATATGAGAGCACTGAAACTGTTAATTTACTGACAGATGAGACTAAAGTTGAAAAGCCTTAGCCAAACAGAAATAATTCACATGGAGTGCTTTTATAAAAGTACCAGCACCCCAAAGCCACTAAAATTACTTGCATAGTTAGGCATCCATCAGTCACAAAGGCTTTCTTGAGGACTGGGGAGCTTGGTGGTAGGTTGCTTGCCTACCATATTCAAGGCCATAGGTTTGATCCCTGGCACCACAAAAACATAAATAAAAATGAATTTTAAAAGGCTCAATGGAGCAGTAGGTTTCCAGGATTTGGTGGTATCTCAGAACTTTGAACCAGTTATGGTTTACCTGATTTAAGGCCACCTCTGCAGGTAAGCCCCTAGATCCTGTTCTCAGGGTAACACTGGGTCAGGAAAGGGGGGTAGGGCACAGCCAAAGGACAGATTAAATCCACACTTTCCTTTCATGAATTATTTCCAACCACTCAATATAAAATAATGTCATAGCTGAGAACTTTAACATTCTATTTAGCTCTAATCTCTACCTAATCTGTATTTTTATTTGGTTACTAGGTACTTAGTGTAGCCCCATTTTGTGGAAGGCTGACCAAGAACAAACTTCAGTAGTAGTCAAAGCTAGCTGTATTGAACCTACATTAGAACATGAGCACACAAGTTCAGTGGTTTTGAAGGTTTTGCATACTTTTTTTGTTTTTGGTAAGTCTTAATCTGCCTACACAGTATATACGATGTAAATTAAATACAGCACCTGTTCTATGACTTAAATTCCACATTTGGTCAAAAACAAAATAGAACTAAAGTTAACATTAAGTTAAATTATCAGATTTTATTTTCTTCACATATTCTTTCCTTCAGTGTCCCCATTCATTAATTCAAAACTATTTTTTGGTCTGGCTATACAGCACTGAGTGGTAGAGCACTTCCCTAGCATGCTGGAGGTGTGGGTTTGATCCCCAGTATTAGGGGAAAATATTTTTTCTTGACCACCTACTATGTGCCAGGTAGGTTTCTAGGCACTAGTATATATTACCAAATTAAATAAAAGTCTGTACTTTTGTGAGAAGCAACAGACCATCAACAAAATAAAACGTTAAATGGCAGTAAAAGAAGAGGAACAAAATAAATCAGGGAAGGAAAGGGGTGTTATAGGGAGGGGCTGCAAGTTTAAATAGGGTGGCCAGGGAAAACCTCACTAAAAAGATGGCATTTGGATAAAGACCTAAGGCAAGTGAACCATGCACTAATCCAAGGAAAGCACATTCCAGGGAGAGGGAATACTGCAAATACTTATGAATAGGACTATGCTTTTGTGTTCAATAATGGTCAGAATACCCGTGTAGCTGGTTTGAGGGAAGTGGGTCAACTGAAGAAATGGGAGATTATTGGTGTCAGGTGCTGCTAATAGATCATGTAATTGAGAACTGAGGATTGACCATTGAATAAGTGATCTTAACAAAGTAATTCAGTGGAAAACTAGGTCACAAGTTTTATTTGAATAGGTTAAATGAGAGGAACTGGAGAATGGCAAATAATCTTCCACAGAGTTTTGCTAGTAAGGATAAAAGCAGATATGGGAGACAAGGGAGAAATTATGTTTTCAAGATGAGAAATTACAATGTGTTTATGCCTATGGAAAACATTGCCTCAGTGAAAAGGTAATAGAATCCAGTACGTAAATGAGAGGACTGATCTTAGGAGCACAGATAATTTATCTATTGAAACAGGAAAGAAATGTGAGTATACAGATAAAAGTAAAGGGAAAGGGGCACATTAGATCATGGTAGCAAATAGTTCTTTCTGCAGTATAAACAAACTTTCTGTTCAGTGCTTGAATTTCTATAGTATCCTTCACATATGGTCATTCATTACCTCTAGAGCTGTGTCATATTTTGCCAGCTTATGGATTATTGATGTGTTTCTTCCTTTTATTGCTCAAAAAACTGTCTTCTATCTCATTGGCCCTAGTTCCACTTCCTATAACCTCTCAAGATAAACAGTCCCAATCCTTGCACATTAGAGCCTTCAAGTACTGGAGGGTTAACATGATTTTATATGACATGATTTCTGCTGCTCACTCATAGTGCTTCAGTATTTCTGGTAGGATATGATTTCAACCCCTCTTGCATCCAGTCATTCTCTCTCCTAAGAAGGTCAAGGTATTCATTTAGTCAGGTATTTCTTCTTTTTGATGTTGGTTTTAGTTTGGGGTTTTTTTGGGGGGGGGTATTTGTTTTTGAAGCAATTTGTTCTTTTATTTTTATTAATCAAAGCTCGGTATGGTCCTGACCTTTGGGGTCTTATTTTCTCCTAGATTTATGGTTTTATTTTTTTAGTTTGTTGGCGGGTTTTTTCATCTTAATTCAGTGTTTCTAACAAGTACAAGGGGTAATCATAATATATGGTGAATATTTAATTTTTTAAAAAAATTATTACAGTAAAAGACACATTGCTGTGAATCCCCCCAAAGCTCCCCCTCCCTTCAAACACATATATTGCATCATTTCTGCCACTTTCTGAAGCAGTTCTAGAAGTCCTTTTTCATGTCTTTATGAGGCATGATCAAAAATACAGCTAATGCTGCTGCTGAGTGCCATCCAACAGCACAGCAGGCTCATAAAAACATTATGGTTTGTCCTCATCTACCTTATTTACCATATCTGGCACAGTGTGACTTCTAGCTGTTCCCTAAAGTCAATGACCATCAAAAGTAAATGTTTTGAATCAATTCAAGACATCAAGGCCACCACAACAGCACAACTAAAGACACTCTCTTCGTATAAACATATAAGAAGGAATTTATTAGGGTAATTGACTCATGCAGTTGTAAAGGCTTAGAATTCCTAAACCATCCCTCAGCAAGTTAGAGATCCTGGGATGGCAGTACCCTGACTCAGTCCAAATCTGAAGGTCTCAGAACCAGAAAGGATGAGGGTGTGACTCTCAGCCCAAGACCCAGGGCCTAAGAACCTGCAGACCAATAGCAAAAGACCAGGAAACAAAGGCTGGAGAGGTTGGAGTTCTGCTGTCTCAAGGAGGAGAAGAATGATATATCCTGGTTCCAGGAGAGACCAATTTGCCTTTTTGTTGTTGTTCTGTGTGGACCCCAGCCAACTGGATGGTGGTACACATTGAGGGCAGATTTTCCTCCATTTATTCCATTCACACTCACACACCTCTAGAAACACCCTTACATATACATCCAAAAATAATGCTTAACCAGTTCACTAGGAGTCCTTAATCCAGTCAAGTTTATACCTAAAATTACCCATCACAAAAGGGAAAGCCTAAAAACCAGAGGCCAAGAATAATGTATCTACATCTTTTCTATGGCACATAAGTATATGATCCTCTGAGAATTTGAACCTAGTCCTACTCATTACTATGCATGTGAAAAGTTGACAAAAGAGAAAGAGAACTACACTGGTTGGATCACCTCAATAAATAAGATCATCCTGATTATCTCATTTCTGCTTTCCTAAGCCCATGATTGCTGCTCCTGAAATTTTGGAGCAATGGCTGAGCTTCCCTGAGTCCCAATACCAACCCCATTAGTACTGGTTCTGCCTTTTCCATTCCAACAGAGTATTAGCAACCGTAGTGATCACCAGAAAGCACTGACTGTGAGTTAGCTCCAATAGCCAGGTTTAGCCAGGTCAGTTCACATAGCATGAAGCTATGTGAAGATAAGAAACTGCTGTGACTAGGGCTGGCAAAGGCTGGAATCCTTGGAAAGCTGGATAGAGAGCAGAACACGATAGAAAATAGAGGCAAGTGAAGGAGTGAAAAAATATGATCTCAAACATTTACTTTTTCTAAAAGTTTGAATAAACAGTGCTTGAAAAGTCAATATTCTGTAATCATACCCTTGCTGCAGCGAAAAGGACCACTTTA